ATAAATAATTTAATTTTTGAAAATTCTAAACCATATTGCACAATTTTCCCTCAGTAACCTATTCTAGTGTCTGTACAGCAATTTATACCTTAAAGCCTCAGGCTATTCTATTCTAACATACATGGTCTTAGGCACGCATAATTCCTTTGGCCAATAAAATTGCTGGTCACTTAAAAATTCTAAAATTTATGATAGAGACTGTTTTTTTAAAAAAGTCAACCTAAAAAAAGTCATCTGGTCTAAGATATATCTTTTATATGATAAAATTCATAATCTTTTAAAAAGTCTTTTATTTATCTATTTGGTATAAGTTTCGCTACACAGTTCAGTCATGTAGTGCTCCTCCTGTCCCAACCACTCCAGGGCTAGGGTTGCAGGCATTGCGCCACCACGCCTGGTTTCAGTGGCCGGCAGAGCATGTGGTACTAGGGATTGAACCTGGATCCTTGCACTTGCTGGGCAGGCACTTAGATTGCAGAGCTATCTCCCTATCCCCTCCAATCTCCTTTTAGGAAGACATTAGCAATTGTGATAAAATGGGTTATAATCAATAGTGATAAAATAGTGATCAATTGTGATTAATAGCTTATAGCTTATAATCAGTGATTCTTTTTTTTTTGGCAGAACCGGGGATTGAACTCAGGCGTTTGTGCTTGCCAGGGAAGCTCTTATTCCACTGAGCCATCTCCCTGGCCCCTATAATCAGTGATTCTAATGAAGTTAGATATTCTGAAAAATTAACTTCAAGGCCAGCTTGAGCAACATAGTGAAATCTCATCACAAAAGCTAACAAACAAAAACTATTACACTTTTGACTGATAGTCAAAAGAGAAATTAATTATTCTGCCTCAGATGAAACCTCAGATATGTGCCACCATACTCAGCTTAAAATTTTCATTTTGCCTTCAGGGCAGGTTTGGCTGGCTTGAGTTGTGGGGGTTGAACCACAGCAACCTGAGCCTGACTGCTTTGTTGAAGCAGCCACTTAAAGAACTGAGCTAAAGGGCAGGCCCCCAATAGTTTTTTGTTTGTTTGTTTTGTTTTGTTTTTGTGGAACTGGGAATTGAACTCAGGCCCTTGCACTTCCCCCAATAGTTTTTAAGCCTAATATTTTATTCTTTTGCTATATTAGTGCAATTAGTCCCCTACTCCAAATTTGATTGAATCTTTTTTTTCCAATCTTTTATTTTATTTTATTATTATTATTTTTGTTTTGTTTTGTTTTGTTTTGTTTTGGCAGAACTGGGGATTGAACTCAGACCCTTGCACTTGCTAGGGAAGTGCTTATTCTACTGAGTCATCTCCCTGGCCCCTTTATCTTTTATTTTAAAGTGCTAGGAATTGAACACAGGGCCTTCACACTGAGCTACATGCCCATTCCTTTTTATATTTTTACTTTTAGACAGGGTCCCACTAATTCACTAAATTTCTCAGATTTGACTAGAACTTGTATTTTTCCTGCTTCCACATTTCAGAGTACTGGGATTACAGGTGTGTGCCACCACATCCTCTTTGAGTGAATATTTGACCTGGTTTATTTTGTTTTTGTCTTCTTGTGATAATTTTGAAATAAATTTAAGTATAGTTTCATAATTATATGAACATTTTTATTTTTATTTATTTATTTATTTATTTTTTTCAGAACCAGGGATTGAACTCAGGCCCTTGTGTTTACCAGGGAAGCACTTATTCTACTGAGCCATCTCCCCAGCCCCATTTGAACATTTTTAGAAAATTATTTTGAATTCAGATGTCAACTATCTACAAATACAGTGATAATAGAAATGACTTTGATTTTTCCCTTGGTAATGATTTTGCATGTGTGTACGTCCGTGTGCCTTAACTGTTGTCTCCCATTATGACTGGCACATTATAGTGGCAATAGTCTTAGAAGTCTATCAGAGAAAAGGTTCTGTTCAAAGATGACAAATCAGGGGCTGGAGAGATGGCTCAGTGGTCTAAAGCACCTACTTGGAACAAGCTTGATAAAGCACAGGGACTGCGGTTCGATTCCCCCAGCACCACATGCCAGCCAGCTGCACCCCCTAGTGGGCTGAGCTGGACACACACACACACACACACACACACACACACACACACTAAAATAAATGTTAAAAAATAATAATAATAATAAAAAAACAAAGATGACAAATCAGTTTGAGCCAAATTCTTGGACATGTAAGGTACTAATATAATACACTAGATATAGTGATCATTAATCATGTTTATGTGGAAGAAAGAGCCAGGGAAGGAAAGTTGGGGAGGAGGGACAAAGGCATGTCGTGCTAACTCCTCTTCCGCTCTTGTGCTGTCACTGTCGGTGAGGACTGCAGGGCTGCGCACCTTGCTGAGTGCTGAGTGAATGAGCACCCCTCATGCTGTTGCCAGGAGACAGAGCTCACCCGCTTTCTTCCTGCTTTATGCTCTGTGGTTTCTTTGAATACTACAAATTGGCTAAGTTGCAAATTTGCTTTAAAGTAGGAAAGCCAAAACACCTTCAGATGAGATGTAGGGGGAAAACGCTCCTCAGCTTGTCCACCTCCGCACCAGGGAAGCCTAGTATCAATCTCACCATCGGTAATGTCAGTTGAATACCCTCACAGGGACCAGCAGCTCACATGAAAGTAAAGTGTGTGCCCCATCAGCACGATCTCTAACTCAACGCGCAGCTCAGATAATAACTACTTTTGTTCTGTCCGGTGTCGGCTGCCTTGTTTTCAGTAGCATGCAAGAAGTCACCTTTCTAAGGCAGAGCTCCTTGCCTGACAAGGGAAAACTGCTGAAGTCATGAGGCTGCTCCAGGCAGAGCCCTCATGTGAGTCATATGAAAGCTCCAGCTGCTGACCTCTGGTGAAAAGGGAGTGAGCGGAGGGAGGAGAGGCAGAAGAGGGAAGGTTCAAGTGTGGGTTTTCTCCTTGAACCTGGAAGATTATGGGTCAAGAGCTATGTGCAAAGAGTCGACAGCCTGGGTGCAGCTGCTACCACCGTTCCGAGGGAGGAGAGGCGCGCAACTGGCCGAGGGGCCAGCCGGTGGCGAAGGAGGCTGCGCTCCAGGTATTTGTATTCGGAGAGCCTCTGTCTCTATATCGGTACACTGAGAAGCTCAGACACTCCCTTTCCGTAGCGGGGTCTGATTCTTCTGCAGTCGGTTTAAATCCATAAAAAGAAAATTCTACTAGGGTCACAGAGAATTTATGGCTATAGCTATGCAGTGTGGAGATGGCTTGTAAACCAAAGAGAAATAATCCTTGGCTTTGAGCTGCACGGAACTCCCTTGACTTGAAGTGGAGAAAGTGTTTTACTCTTGAAATCTTCAGGGTACTAAATTGCAGAGCTGAACCGCAGGAGGCAAGCTGCAGTATTGGTTGGTATGCTGTGGATTCAAAATTTCAATAATTAGCTCATGATTATTAGCATTATCATACTAGAAAATCACCTCTTCAAAAAATAATTTAGGTAGACATGGCGGGGGGCATACAAGACAGAAAAATGGAAAACATGTAGCAAAGTAAGTGTTAGGTTCATCCAGTACTACAAAAATACAGTCGGGTAACGAAGGCATTTCAGCAGTGGATCCCATTGTAGTCTTTTTTAGAGATCTGACTTTCAAGAAACAGGTTTGGGGGGAGCTGTAGGAAGCTTAGAAAACAGAAAACCAGGCAATAGTTTTGCCAACCTCTTATGCTTTCTTTTTATACTGTAGCTAACAGACCTAAAAGAAGCATCTTGTTCTATGACTTCATTCCACTCCCCGGGGGACCGTCAGGCTGTCAGTGCCGGGAAGTTAAAGAGCAAAAGGCCTCGGAGTAACAGCGATTCTTTTCAGGAAGAGGATCTGAGGCAGGGTTTTCAGCGGGTGAGTGAGCTGTTGCTGTCGGTGTTGGTCAAGAAGAATTCAGTGTGTGTGTCCAGGGACATGTTGCACGTGTGCTCTGGCAGTGCTGTTCCACTTCCCTGAGGGTGGAAAAGCATTATCAATTTTTTTTTTCTTTTCTTATAAAAGCTTTTTTTTTTTTTTTTTTTTTCTCCCTCCCCCTTCCTTTAAGCAGAGGAAGAGCCTTCCATTTGGGGCAGCCTCCTCCTACTTGAACTTGGAGAAGCTGGGGGAAGGTTCTTACGCTACAGTTTACAAGGGCATTAGCAGGTGAGTGACTCACAGCTGCAAGAAATTTTAGACATGTGAGCCCCACCCCTCGTTTACATCATAAAACCAGATGATGCATCGCCGAGGTTCACCGGGTTTAGGACCCGTGTAGGACGCCAGGGCAGTGCGGAGAGACATGTGATGATTTAAATACCCTTGAAAGAACAAAAAAAAAAAAAAAAAAAAAAAACTTTACCAAAGCAAATCCTACTAAGATCAGCCCATTAAAATGTTTATTGGCCTTTCTCCTCTTTTCGATTAAAAGAAGATGGATTTTTCTCTACTATTGACCCAAAGAAC